CGGGAGTGTGGTGAAAAAATGAGAACCAAGACCTGTCATGTAAAGGTACAAGATCCCAATGATGAATATAACTGTACTGTATACTTAAAAAGTACCAATAAACTCAGTAAGATTTTTTAAAAAACTGAAAACTTCTACTCTGTGAAAGACCATATCAAAAGGATGAAAAGACAAGCTACTGACAGGGAGAAAACATTCACAAAAGATTCATTTGATGAAGGTCTTACCCAAAATATACAAAGAACTCTTTAAGGGCATGAACAATCCAATTAAAAACTGAGCAAAATACCTGAATAGATTGCTCACCAAAAAAGATATGTCATCGAGGAAATGCAAAATAAAACAAGTCCAAGATACCACTACTCTCCTAATAGAATGGTCAAAATTCAGAGCACTGACACCAAATGCAGGCAAGGACATGAAACAGCAGGAATTCATTTATTGCAAGAATGCATGAAAAATGGCACAGCCATTTTGGAAAACATTGGAGGTTTCGTACAAAACTAAACATACTCTTACCATACAATCCAGCAATTGAATGCTTGGCACTTATGCAAAGGCATGAAAAATGTGTGTCACACAAAAGCATGCACATAGAGGTTTATAGCATCTTTTATTCATAATTACCAAAACTGGAAAGCAACCAAGACGTCCTTTAGTAAGTGAGTTAATAATTATAAGTGTTACATAAAGACTGGAATATTACTCAACTGTAAAAAGAAATGAGCCATGAAAAAACATGATGGAAACTTAAATGCATATAATAAAGTAAAAGAAACTAATCTGAAAAGGCTACATTCTATATGATTCCCACTCTACGACATTCTGGAAAAGGTAAAACTATGGAGATGATATAAAGCAGAGGGCAAAGAAGGATGAAAAAGTGGACAACATGGGATTTTAAACAGTGAAACTGCATTGTACTGTAATGATGTATAGATGACACGTACTTTTCCAAATACAAAGACTGCACAAGGAAAAGAGCAAATCCTAATGTAAACTACGAAGTTTGGGCAATTTGTTAAAGCGGTTCATTGATTATAAAAGTGTACTGCTGTGGTATGGGGATATTTATAAGGAGGCTGTGTGTGTATAGGGGTAGGGAGTATGTATTAGTCAGTTTTTCCATTGTTAGGCACAATACCCAACACTCACAATTTAAAGAAGGAAAAGTCAGCAGTCTCCATGGCAGAAGGGTCATGGCAGAAGGGCATGGTGGAACAAAACTGCTCAGATCATGGCAGCAAGGAAGCAGAGCAGGAGAATAATGCCAGAGCAGAGGGAGCAAGGGACAGGACATAGATCCCCAAGTCACACCTCAGCAACCCCCCCAAACACACCTAGAAATACTCCACACACATAAAACTGTGCTACACATATATAAGAAATATCTGTGCCTTCCTTCTAATTGTGCTATTGGGCAAGAAATGCTATAAAAAAATTAAGCGTTAGAAAAATAGGAGAGTACAATCAGAACATTCTCGACAGTATAGTATGGCTGGGTGGTGGAATGTGAAACAAGGAGTGGAGGAACATAAAACTAGCAAGAGTCCTTCAATCCTATGCAAAGGAGCTTAGACTTGATCTTAGGAAAATGAAAAGCCACTGGAGATTTTTGCACAGAGGGGTGTATATAACTTCAGTGTGCCGTGGCCTGCAGCACACTGCCTTGTTCTTGGTAGCACATTTTATTATTTGTCACATTCCTGGCACAAGAGAGGACTCCGGTCCCCAATCTGATGCCTTGCTGTCTTTACACAGGAAAAAAATAACTCCCCGTGCTCTTCTGTAGCAGTTTCTTGCCAGTTGCTTTGACAAGTCTTCCCAGGTCTGTGAGCGACCTTTCTCTTTTAACTGAGGCCAAACTGCTGCCTCCATGTGGTTGCCCCTGCTAAGGATCTTTCTAATTTTTCTTTGGAGGACAGAAGTTAAATAAGAGCTGATGCAGTGCAAGAAGCACTCGCTTAGAAGTCTTAAGGAACTGCTCTAGCGGTACCTAGAGCAAAACCCTTGGCCTGAGTCCCCTCTCTAGCATGGAGAGATGATCCTGACATTCCTTTCTAGCCTTAAGTGTCTCTCATTTTAAATGCAAGGTCAACATGACTTTGGCAAGGCTATAAATGACTATATGCGAAAACTCTGGTTTACCATAGAGCAGAGTAATTTTGTTGTTACTGCTGTTGTTGTCTATGTTACTCTCCCCGTACTTAGGTCACATTCCACCTCCTACTTGCCCATTTTGTTAGTCACATTTGCACTTCTGCCTCTACAGAATTTTATGTCACTAAACTAGAAGCAGAGGTTGGTGAAGCAAGCCCTTTATGACATTTTTCTTTGAAATCCTGAATGTACTGAGGATAGTGGGCTACTTTTCCCAGTCTGGGTCATGAGAAAAGGGAGCATTTTGCAGAAAATAAGGTAGGACTATGGTAAGATTGAGAAGAACTTGGATGATTATAAATCAATCTTCAAAAGAAGGACACTTATAAGAATAAAATGCATTCATAATTACCCGGGACACACAGGCATAAATGGAGATGGTTCCTGGCACACCACAGTGGAGTCATCCTGCACCACCATAAATCCAAGGAGAAATGCAGCCTCAGGACCTACTATCTTATACAGACATCAGTTGTTAATCCTCATGCTTTTCCATGGGGCCTGGATGAAACTGAGACCCTCCTTCACACAGCACCCCTAACACTCACTTTTAATCAGTAACAATGGCCCTTGATTTGAAGTCTTTTTATTACAGTTAACCATGTAGCAAGAATCAGGTTAATGGATACTGTGGTGCTCTCCCAGGACTCCCTCTGTGGGCTGATGAACCTATCAAGTCTGCTGGCTGCTGGACCCCTCATCCACCACTGACCTCCACTGAAGGAAATTACAGATGTCAAGGTATAAAGGCCAGATCTTGCCTCAACTGGAGTCAAGTCTGAAAGGCCATTTTAGCTCCAGAGCTGGGTTAGCTGAAGCCGGGGGCAGCTCAGCTCCTCCTTCCATCCAATCTTGGCTTCCTCACTTCCCCACAGATCCGTCCCACAAGAGTCCACCACAACCAACCTCTAACACACAACTTTGTATCTCTTATCTTCTTATCTCTTATCCTGACATAGGAAGCCCTATCTAAGGAGCCAATCACCCCTGTACTAAGAGCAGGAGGTAAACTCTGTGATTAACTCTCCAACTTCTACTTTAGCAATATGGATCAATTTATACATATTTCTCAATCCTATATTTAATTTAAATTAATTGAAAACTGCCCTGAAAATGCATACCCCTTCACTGTTCATAATCAGAAAAATACAAGTTTCTCCCTTCCTGGTTTTTAATGGCAACACTAGGTTAAGAAATCAAGATTGCCAGAGGTGCCACAGCAGTAAACAGAACAAACACTGTTGGGAAGACAATAGAACTGAGATTCAGTTTTGTCTTTGCCACTGATTTACTATGATGCAGATGAGTCCTTTTCTTCCTCTAAGTGGATCCAAATTTACATATAAAATGTGAGGCTTATCAGAAAAATGATTTAGTAACCTGGAAATAAGATACAAAAACGTACTCCACGTCTTTCAGTGTTACACAGGGAAAAATCATCCAAAGACTATCTAGACAGAATTCAACTTAACGATTTAATTCTCCTTGCTATTTGCTATTCATTGAAGACCTCTCATTTAGTAAAACTTGTTACCTGATAAAAACTTTGTTCAGCAGATATGCCAAAAACTTCTCTCCATGGAATAAATAACCACAAAAATTTATAGCCTAATTTTTATATAACTGAGTAAAGTTAACCTAAGTTATTGCATGTGTGTGCATGCATATTTTATATGTGTACATGAGTTTATTGCTTCCTAAATGCTCTTTGAACCAGTCCTAACACTTTAGTCAGTCTTTCACCAATTATTGAGCTAGATAAGACCTTTCACGTGTGGTCCAATATCGCATTTTCCCAGGAGTCATAATTTTACCCTTACCTTTCTGAAAATTAAATTTCAACAGGCTTCATCTGCTCCACGATACTGGAAGAAAACCAATACACACTTCCCTCTTGAAAACTCAGGACCAGAGTACTAGTGTACCACAGAGGTATCTAGGATACCTTTCTATAGAAATCCTTTGGCCCATTTTGACCTTCAGCAGAGCCACAACTTAGTGAAAGGGACTTTCTTAAAGATTCTGAGGTCTGAAAAATACAAGTTATATATTGTCAGAGCTGTCTAACACATCATGCAATTAAAATTTTTAAAGTATTCCCAGTGGCTGCAGTTTGGGTATTTCCAAAGGATCAAATCAAATTTGATGAATGTCACTTCACAGCCCTGGAAAGACAGACATCCCAGAGCCAGGTTGGCCTATATTCCATCTCATCTTTGGCATTAACTAGCCAATTAGCATAACCTGGAGCCAGAAATGAAAGCACCTGGGTTTTAATCTCTTCTTCCATTATCGGCAAATAATCCCCATAGGCCCGTTTCAAAGATTGAAGAGGAAAAAGTGCGTCAAGGCACTTAGCACAAGGCCTATCCAAAAACATGCCCCCTCCCGCACTGCCTTCCTTTCACCTCTCCAAGGACCTGAAGGGCTTTGAGGCCTTGGCTCTGCTGCTGCTCTTCCCAGCCCCCACTCCAGCCACGAAGCGATCAAGGGATGGGAAAATCGCTCTGTTCAAACAGGTGTCACTGTTCTAAACCTACAGTCTCATTTCCTGGTCGTGTCTTAATCTGCTCGCCGGTGGTGAAAGTTGATTTCTTGCACATTCTTATATCAGTGGGAATTTCTGCCCTTGGCTGACAGGCATTATGGGCTGGCTTTGACATACAGCCCTACAGGGCCTGAGCAGCCCCTATTCTTCCCCAGTGCTGAAAGGGAGCTTTGTGCCAAGGACTCATTAAACTGCACTGCACAGCCCCTTCAGAAATGGGGCTCAATAATGAACAGTCGATTTAACTGGAAAAGCTGCTGGAGCTGTTAAATTAAAGGGAAATAAAGTGCACTTTAGGCTCAGTCTGCCAGAAGAAATGGTGACCTAAAAGGAAAATCTTCATTTTTATTGAATTGCAGGGGTTTTTTTTAAGTCTAAAATGTCCAGGAAGCTTCCTTGTGATAGGCAGTGAGACATAAAGGCTCAGAATGCAGGCTTAAGATAGGGCCTGCTCTTTGTTCACCAGAGTCATCCCAAAGTGGGTCTTAAGCTCTTCGAGGATACTGAGGAATGATCTAAATTTGAGAAGGAAATGTATGAGGAGCCTGCAATACGCCAAAGGGACAGTTTATACAATAAAATAAGTATTTTGTTTAAAACCAAGCTTTCCCTTTCATTCTCTGAACATCCAAAGGACCAAGTTATTCTTTTCAGGGTTTGTTTTGTTGTTGTTGTTGTTGTTGTTGTTGTTGTTGTTGTTTTCACTATTTCAGAGTTAAGAAATCTCTCTTGGAAGAAATCCAGTTGTTTCTTCTCACACTACAGCTCGGAACTATTTTTGATTTGAGTATTTGTTTTGAAGTTTGACTTCGTAGCTTTTTTAAACTTGAGATTTTTCAGAAGTATGCATAAGTGCTCCAAAGAATGTTCTCTTCAACTTCTGAGTTATATAACTTGCTAGCATCATGAGATAGAAGTTCCACTAACATACGCTAGAATGTTACACTTTCCCATAACTTCCATGAGCAAGAAGCAAAAACCACTCTGCTTTGGCAGATAAAATAATCACATTCTATTCTTAGCTTTTCCCTCTTAAGGTGCCATGAGCTGGGACTCCTTAACACACACTTCTATCTTCTCCCTATTTTCAAATCTTTTTATAGAGTATAATTCTGGGTGTGTTACAGACTTTACTGCTGTGGTCAATTTTTTGTCTTCATCTTTAAACATCTTTCAGCCTTCAAAAATGACAGTCATTCATCACAAAAAATTTTAAAAAGGAACATAGAGAGTGGTGTGAAAAAAATAAAGGCCCACTTCCACTTCATTCCTCAGGGTCACTGCAACCCTAACGCAAATTATCAGACACAAAGCTATGTAGAAAGGGCAAAAGTTTCTTTCTTTTATAAAAACTACTTCACTTTTTTCATTTTTAACTTTATCAATTTGATTTTTAAGATATGACATCAGGCAATTTGGTGTCACCTTGGAAATATTCTAGGGTTGAAAAATAAACCCATGTATATCTTTATGTTTAACAGCCAGTAACCATGGTGACCTACTAAAAAGCATTGTTTTATCCTTCATCCATTACTGCGTCATGGTTGACCACTATAAATCATGGACTCTTGACACCATGATATTCTGCATTCCCATTAAACCTGCTGCCCGTGATAACTCCTGGGAAACACTTTGCCCAGTACCAGCCCTCATGGTTATTAGAGTTTTTACTTGTCTTAGAGCAACATACAGTGTTTTGTTCACCTCCAATTAAAAGTTGCCAGAGTTCAGAAGGACCATACCATCCTGGGTGGCTTCTGTCCGTTTGCTTACAGTATGACATTTAGTTGTGAATGAGTATTTATAGAAAATACATACATCTTAAGAATCTATCAAATAAAATTAAGCAGTAGTCTGATCATGGAAAACCTAAATAAATGCTGTAGGACCACTTGCATAAGTTGTAATTCTTTATATTATAGAATCCAAGAAACTCAGTGACCTAGTACCACATTAGACTGCTTCACATTACTGACTACACAACTTAATGCAGAAAAGATTGTTTTGAATCGTTGTTGCAAAGGTTTCAGTCCACGGTAAGCTGGCTCCTCTGCTTCCACCCTGTGGTATGCAGAAAACTGTGGTAGGAGGATGGTGGAGGAAAGCTGCTCAACTGATGGGATCCATGAAGCAGAGAGCAGTGGGAGAGTCGAGACCAGCTATAGTCCCAAGGACATGGCCCTATGACCCACCCAGACACACACAGAGTGTCCTTTACTACTCTCCTGAGTCTCTTAAATCAATCCAGTTGACAATCAAACTTAACCATTGCACCTACAGATAACAACAGCCAGTCCCTCAGGAAAGGTGATGGCCTGTAACTAGCCTGGCATCTGCCTATCTGACATGCATACCCCCTACTACATACACCTTCCACTTGCAACCGCTAAGCAAGATGTCTATTTTTAGGACAAGAGTCCTGATTTTCCAACTTGCCAGCTTGTTGCCCACAAATAGCTTTCTTCCCCTATAACTCTGTCTCTCAAATCTTTGGCTTCATTGCATGGTAGTGGACCTGAGCCTTTCACCATTATAGCAAAGCATAAATTATAAAACCTTAGTAAAATTCTGTCTAGATTTACTTTATTTTTGATGGAGAAAAGAGAAAAAACTATGAGAAGCCATATTCAAAAGGGGTGAAGGAACATATTAGACAATACACAATGGCTCAACAATGTTTCTACTCCATGAGACTTTTCATAATTAATTTATGAAAAATCAGACTATCTAATTTGGGCTCTAAGTATTTACCAAGTTATTACTCCTTCAGTTTCACAATGTTAGTGTTATAAGCCACATCTGATTACATTTCTTTGTAGAATTTTGTACTCCAATGATTTTCCTTCCTAGATAAACTTACTCCTACCCCAAGTCTGTTTCACAAAGACATTTCCAACTGTGACTTCTTACAGCTTCCAGCATTGAAGTCCAGAGAGAAAAAAAATCTCTAACCAGAGATGCCCAGGACCTTTGAGACCCAGCCCCAGAGCAAGAGTGAAGGTAGGTCTCTCCAAGGGTACCCACCTATAAGAAGGGTGAGTCCCAGGTGGCCATGGCTATAGTCTCAGCTGCTCTGAAGGCTGCTCTGGGAAAATCACAAGTTCAAGGCCAGTTTGGGCCACAGTCTCCTCCAGAAAAGGGGAGGAAAGGGGACTTTAAAGAAAATGTGTCCCAAAATTGAGGAAAGAAATTTGAAGACAGGGCAAATCAATGTTCCATGAAATGATCTGGGACACAGAGGAAGTGTGAATGGAAAAAGATCTGTTTCTAGATAGGAGGTAGGGCCACGATGAAAGGATAGAAAGAAAGAAAAAGGTAGGACACCAGAGTGCATGGCAAAAGAATTATGGTACCAGAAAGTTGGGGGCCCTGTTGCAAGAATTCTGATGTGGGAAGTGTCTCCTTAGATGTACCTATTACATTTATTTAGTCAGTGATTCCTCAATCTGTGGTTTTCAAACTACAGCATAGACACAGCAGAACTACGAAGACTTCAGGAGAAGTCAGATGTGGGAAATTTTAACAAAATGAATGCCCATATCCTCATTCTATATTTACTCTTCCTTAACATTGATCAAAAGGATTCTATCCACTCTGGGCTTTCACGTTTGTCTTTATTTTTAAAAAGCAAAGCATAGTCTTTCCCTTCCATTCCCTTTTCCCTCCCCTTCCATTTAATTTTTCTTTTCTCTTCCCTTCCCTTCCTGAATAACCCATTTCTAAGCCTCTAGGTTAGGCAGAGAAAAATAGATGTCTGTATGGCAGTGCAGAGGGGCAGGATGTGGAAGTGGAGGGTGGTGGTTCACGGCTTGGAAGTCAGAGCACAAGCAGATGAAAGATGTGGACTCTGGGGTGGGGGTGGGTCCATGAGGGTGAAGGTCATTGTTCAGACATGGGGCCACTACTCAATAAAGACCGGAGTATGGTGTCATTCCTCAGAGCCAAGTCAGGTGAGCAGGTCGTCCGCATGAATGGGAGGCCCAGTGTGGAGTGCAGAAGAGGGATGAAGAGAAAACCATTTGTACAGAAGAACTATTGACAGGTAAGAAAAATCAGCTTCATACAGGCAAATTGATCAAAAAATGAATATAATAATGACAACAGCCAAGTTTCTTACTTTCAGAGAAGAAGGTTACAACTGTTGAGAGGTTAGAAAGGAGGAATTAAAATAAATTCTGTGATACTGGATTTGAATTAGAGGATTTCATGTGAAGTCATGGATTTAAATAGATGTAGATAGAGGTATAAATAAATGTAGCTGTAGAAGTAGGCTCCCAGTCCTATCACTTTTCCTTTTTGACTTACCTGGATGCAGCACATCTCAACACAAAATTTGTAAAGTGTCAGAAGGGGAGTTATATATACTGACACCTTGTAAAGCTGACCTATTTTAGGAAAGAGTCACAAACAGTGAAAGAAGGGCCAGGGATTTAGCTCAGTAGTTCCTCCACCTGCTTTACAAGCGTAAGGACCCGAGTTTGATCCCCGGTACCAAAAAATAAATAAATAAAAGTGAAAGAATTAAATAACAACTGAATATGAATCCCTTGAAATTATTCATAATTTTAAATATTAACTCATGTTTTATTCTAAGTACTTTTAAATTTCCTCTTACATTTGGATTACTCATTTTTGAATCAATTTTTATATGGTGTGAGGTAGGGACTCAGTTTTATCCCTTTGCTTGTAAATATCCATTAGCCCATACCACTTGTTCTCCTGAATTGTCTTGACACTTTTGTCAAATATCAATTGACCATAAGTGTAAGAATTTATTTTTGAACTCCATTTTATAGATCTGTATATCTAATTTTAGATACACACCAAAAGCACAGCAGACAAAAAAAAACAGAAAGAAATAAAGAAAAAGAGAGAGAAATGGGAGGGAGGGGAAAGGAGGGAGAGAGAGACAGATAAACAGAGAGACAGAGAGGAGATACATTGGACATCATCAAAATGCAAAGTCTTTTTTCAAAATTAGTATCAATAAAGTGAAAAGACAGCCCACAGAATGGGAAAAATATTT